TTGCGGAACACTCGTGAAAGAGTTCGGCCCAGGCAATACAGTACAAGTCATATGCCCTGAGAGCCCGGGGGGCGACGCGAGAGATTTCGCTTACAACGAATACGGGCCGTACGGTAGGGGCAACGTGGACTATAGGATTTTCCCAGGAAATGGGGCGGTGTTTTTTGTGTACTGTGCATGGGCGGCTTGACTGGCGTATGCAGCGATTGAGGAAACGTCGCAGCGTCGCAAGTCTCTCCACCTGTGTATCAACTTTTCGTTTCAAGCTAGTCCCTCGATAACCTAGGGGTCACCCTGCATAATCCGAGTTTGCCCAAGACTTCCTGGCTGGGTAGCTCTAAACTTTTGACTGTTTTTGCAGGCATGCGTTTCGCCCTGCTCAGAATGTGCCACTCCTGACAATGACAGGGGAGCCATTTTTTTCTAGGGGTGTGAACTTCTACATTAAAATTTTCAGGGTCCATCCATCCCCTACTCAAAACTCGGGCGTCGAAATTTCGCCCTGTTTTTCTTGACAAAGCAGTGTAATTGCCCTCACTTCCACAGGCCTGGTTTCAAAAGAATAACAGATTCATTGACGCGCTCCTGGGTGCGTTCCTATTGGTTGTGGTTTGACGGATTTTCTATTTCCTATTGGTTGTGGTCTGCAGTCGTAATCCTACTGGACCGTCAGCGATCTGTTGGAAAAAAAAAAATCGACATTGGTTGGCGAGCCTGACACATCTGGATTTTCAGAGGCTTGCCGACCACTAGGCGTGGTCGCTCTGAAAGCACAGGAGAAAATGATTGGACGGTCTTACATCATCCGACTTGACTGTCATATTTACTGTTTCAGTTGAGACGGGTACACTTTGCTTACAAGGAGAGGTCCTTAAGGATAAAATGCCTATGAGATACTCCCGGGCGTAAAAGGAAGTTGCTCTCAGGGCATATGACCTGTACAGTATTTTGAATCCAGGTCGTCAGATGACTCTGCGTTGCACATGTCGGGGGCAATTTCGAGAGCCCATTCTGAAGTTCGCGTGCGAGTGTGCGTTCTCAACGTTTAGCGGGCTAATCGTGTCAGTCACCCGTTACCCAACCGCCTTCTTCGCATCGCCCCGCCAGACCCTGTTCTTAAACCCTAAAAGAAAAAGTGCCTAAACTATCCACTGCCCTGAAACACAGCCAGCATGACCCCGACCGCGTGGGTGTGCGTTGCAGTTTTGGGGGGCTTCCCAAAATCCGTCTCGCCAATACTGTACACCTGCCCGAAACGACCCATGCGCTGCTGTCTTGGTGTGTGCGATGTCTGTTAATTGTGTTAGGACCAATGTGAGAGAGAGCTGAACCAGAACTGCTGGGATCGATCCACACAATTACAGCTTCCTCATCCATCGAAGCAGAGGGAGGATAGACTAGACTGCTTCCTCCCTCTCCCACTCCATGCGGCACCGTAACAGCTCCCCAGTCATTCAACGTTAGTTCCTCGCCCATCTCACATTTTCCCGCCTTCGCTCGTCTCACGGCGGCCCAGCCGCGCGACCTTTTCCTGCTGTCTGTCGTAACGGACCCCCACGTTCCCCCTGGCTGCACTCCCTTTGAGCACGCCAAGCCAGTAGCAGCGGCGCTCAAGGCGATAGTGTCATAGTGCCAGGTCTCCCGCGCGCATCTTGCCCTTGTGCGCTGGCAATGAAAGGCGGCACCGTACCCAGAGTGGTTTCACACCCGCAGTAGACGGCCAGTCAAGGGCACGCATAGGCAGCGGCACGCGCGACGTTCGGTGTGTGCAGAAAGGCCGCCTCGACACGTGAGGTGGCGAGCAAATGGCGACCAGGACACGGAAGGCCGTGCGACGTGCCCTCACTCATTTGACGGGCGATGCGACGCCACCCTTGTGCGGCTCCGCGATCTATCCCGCCACACCTCGTTAGCGCCGCTGCAGGGCGAACGCATCTCCAGTGCCACGCATATCTAAAGCCATGCATCGCCAGTGCCACGCATCGCCAGCACCACGCATCGCCAGCGGCACGCATCGCCAACGGCACGCATCGCCAGCGGCACGCATTGCCAGCGGCACACATCGCCAACGGCACGCATCGCCAACGGCACGCATCGCCAGCGGCACACATCGCCAACGGCACGCATCGCCAGCGACACGCATCGCCAACACCACTCCTCAGTCTGCGCGGCACGTCTGACGCAGACATGGTGACACCATCCTCGGTTCGCCCCTTGTCGTGGCTCCTATCCCTACCCCCTTCCACACCCCCCTCGTCCTCCCTCGGCAAGACAAGGCCGTCATTGCCCGTGTCGCCGCGAGTGATCCGCCCAGGAGGCGGGCCTGGAGCTGGCCTGGCCGTACATATGCAGCTTCCCACCTTTGGATGCTAACACAGTTAGACACAAATCCCTGCATTAGCTTAACGTCATCATGGGGCCGCGTGATGTACAAAGCCCTGAGCATTCTTTGGGTCTGCCCACATGCTTCGCAATAACTGCCAAAATATGCACAAGTAGAGTGAACAATATATCCATTGTGCATCCAAGTATAGGTCCATTTAACGAAAGACAATGCCTACACACCATTGTAGAGCATGCCAGAAATTACCTCTACCCAGTCCAGGTACTTGACGGCGAATGACTTAGGCCACCCTGTCACTTGGACCTGCGTGGTCTTGAACTTAACTTTCTCAACGCCCAATTCCTCCTCCGCATGTACTTCTCGACAGCCCCTTTCCTTTTCCAGTCTCCCAAATCATACTTAACAAAGCCGGGATGGTTTACAAGACGAAGGAAAGCATCCACGTCGGGCCCGCACAATCCTACGCCACGATTGCACTGTGTTAGGAACCTAGAAGTCTCGAAGCGAGTGTCAAAACTAGACACCTCGTCGTCCTCTTCTGCGAAATAAGCAGCTGCAGGCACGAACTCATCCTCCTCTATGGCCTGTTGGTCTGCTAATCCTTTCTCCCCTACCAGGCCCTCCTCTCCTCCAATATCCTCCCCTTCAAGGTCTTCCTCCTGCAGCTCCGGAGCTTCAGCGTCCGCAGCAGCTGAGTTCTCCGCTGTTGGTGGGTCCCACAACACCCCCTCATACTGCTGGACGAGGATGTCCCGCGGATGGGGCTCTGGAAAAGCGTCATTCCGATGCGACCGCTCATGGTTCGACACTTCGGCAGGGCCGCGAAAGCGCTTATTGCAGAATTGGCATGCGTAGAAGTCCATGGACTCTTGACTCTCTTGCAAGCCCAAAAGGGGTTTAGATTGGGAAAATGATCACAGAAAGGATGCAGAACAGGTGGTGAGTAAAACAGTAGCAAGATATCACACGACAGGAAATGGGAATTTCTTCACTAGCAAGGTATACAGGCCTAAACTCTGCACCTACTAGGAGTGTCAGGGGCAACGAGGCTGCAACAGGCTGAGGAACTCACCGTCGAGGAAGAGGGAGTCACGGGACCACACTTGAGATGTGGAGCTGCTGGGGTATGAGGAAGAGGGAGTCACGGGGGGACGCTGGAGATGTGGAGCTGCTGGGATATGAGGAGAAAGAGGGATGCGGTATAAACAGAGCAAAGCGGAAGAAAGGAAGACAAGGTGCTACTGGGTTATGGGGAAAGCAGGGGTGTGAGTGAAACAAGGAAATGGGGCACTGCAGCAATATTAAGAGAACAAGGATGGTAAAACTCTTGGAGTAGGGAAACTAAAGAAAAGGTTGAGCTGCAGGGATATGGGCGATATACAGATGTGTGGAAACTTGCAAATGGGTTTCTCCTTAAAGGCGGTAAAAGCAGTGATGAGGGGTGATGCTTTACATGGGAAGAACAGGGATCCGGTACATAACAAGGATTGGGGGAAACCAGGGATGCGTTTAAACCTCCCCTGTGATTTGGGGAAAATGGGAAAATAGAGTGCTGCTGAGTTTTGCACAAAATGAGGATATGTGGGTAACATATTAATGGGGCGCAGGTGGGGTTTGAGCGTAACATAGATACCCTTGTGCCGCTGGGATTTGGGGGAAACTGGGATTTTGGGTGCTCCCAGAATAGGGGGAAGAGATGAATGCGGTTTCAGGGTTCCCTTTTCCATGTACCCTTCTGCCCCATGCGCCAGTCGTGCGGATTCGCCTTCAGCACGGCGTGTTCCCTTCCTTGGCGCGCAGGTCCGCCACATCAGCGCTGGATCCGACGTCAGGGCGGGCAGATTCCCCGTCAGCGCGGCGAATCCCCTTGCCTGGCGTGCAGATCCGCCACATCAGCCTCAGATCCGGCGCGATGGCGGGCGGATTCCCCATCAGCACGGCGAATCCCCTTGCCGGGCGCGCAGGTATGCCACGTCAGCGTCGGATCCGGCGTGATGGCGGGCGGATTCCGTGTCAGCACGACGAATCCCCTTGCCTGCCGCACAGGTCCGCCACGTCAGCGCCGGATCCGGCGCCAGGGCTGGCGATTCCCCATCAGCACGGCAAAACCCCTTCCCTGGCGCGCAGATCCGTCACGTCAGCGCCAGATCCGGCGCCAGGGCGGGCGGATTCCCCGTCAGCGTGGCGAATCCCCTAGCCTGGCGTTAAGGTCCGCCATGTCAGCGTCGGATCCGGCGCAATGGCGGGCGGATTCCCCATCAGCACGGCGAATACCCTTGCCTGGCACGCAGGTCCGCTGGCGCAACCTCACCTCTGGCTCGTTCAGCTGCAATGCGGGAGGAAGCGTCTCCAGCGCCGTATCCGCCGCACCACACACGTCAGAAGCAAGGACCGGGGGGATTTGCTGCTTGGGTGAACTGCTGCAGGTTTGTGGTCCAATATCGCGCCAGCAGAAAGCTCTCTCAAGGGTGAGGATGGACAGATGTGGTGTAGTCAGAGGCAGCATGACCTGGCCTAACCGAATTGGTCGTGACCAAGGTGAGCCTAGTACTGTACCCTGGCCAGATTGTTTACTCATTGTTCTTCATCCGCTCATCCATTATATGTTCATGACAGTGAAGGTGCTCTCCCAGGTGTGTTTGCTCCTGTCACCTGGCAGTGTGGACACACCTGAAACAACCGCTTGGCCAACAGAACTTGCCTGGCCGCAGGTTTCCTATCACCAGTTCGTGCTACACCAGTTTTCTACTTTGCGGATTGGCCAACAAACATTGGACAAAGATATCCCAACCCATATCGAAGCCCCCCTTATGCTACACATTTTTTTCCACGCAAGCCTCGACAGCTGCTCGCCAAGTGCACTCAGTCAGGTGAGACATGAGTTCCTTTCACCCCACTCTCGTTTCCAGACTCCTTGGGTGCAGAACATACTTTTGAAGATTAACTATTGTGCAGTCACTGAAGTGAATACTGCCCTCGTATGCAAATTCTTTAGCGATACCAAATTCTCTCACTTTGGGGAGGAGGCGAGGGTAGTTTTCTCCATGGTCGGCACCTCCAGGGTTGCGGATTTGACCCCGTAGCACGACAAATTCATATGACACGGCGCCAAATCCGGTGCTGACGTGGCGTATCCGCATGCCAGGGATGAGGATTCACCTCATACGTGACGATACGTCCGCCCTGTTATGACCCTAGCCTAGATTTCTATATATCCTAGCAGCACCACACTTCCGTACTTTCTTGAAATCCCTGTTTTAACCACTTCCCAGCAGCGCCCCATATCCCAGCAGAACCCCATTACACCCTATGCCTGGTCTTACCAGGTCCCGTAAGAAGTTCCCATGCTTTGTTAAGGTGTGTGCACGCGTATACTTGTAGAGACATTTACGGTTGAAGTGGCTTATCAAACTCATACATTCATCTTAGTGTGATATTCACTCATTATGCGTAACAGCCCACTGCTATTCACTCATTATGCGTAACAGCCCGCCGCCCAACAGCCCTCTTCCCCCCTGCCCTCCGCCGCCCGACAGAACTCCGCCGCTCAGCAGCAGTCCTCTCCTCTGCTCTCCTCCGCCCAGCAGCACCCCTCCCCCTTCCTCTCCGCCGCCCAGCAGCACACCTCCTCCCTGCTCTCCTCCGCCCAGCAGCACCCCTCGCCCCTGTCCTCCGCCACCCAGCAGCACTGCTCACCACTGCTCTCCTCTGCCCAACAGCACTCTTCCCCCCTGCCCTCCGCCGCCCAACAGAACTCTGCCGCTCAGCAGCAGTCCTCTCCTCTGCTCTCCTCTGCCCAGCAGCACCCCTCCCCCCTGCCATCCTCCGCCCAGCAGCACTCCTCCCCGCCGCTCCCGTCCGCTTCTCAGCACTCTTTCCCCCCTCTCTCCTCCGCCCAGCAGCACTCCTCCCCTGTGCACTCGAACCACCTAATGCACTCCTCCCAGCTGCCCTCCACCATTTTTTCCCCCTCTCAGCCGCTGCAATACACCTCTGATCTACCCTGACCAGTTGCACTCCTCTCATGTGCTCTCCAACGCCCTGCTGCCCTCTTCATCGCCTCTACTTTCATCTGGCCAACCACCATCCTGTTCCCCTCACTCCTCTTCCGCCCAGCTGTGCCCTTCACCTCTGCGCTCCGATTCCCATTTCAGTAACACTGCGACACCAACCGCAGGGATCCTACGTGTTCCCGTAGCTGCGTTTTCTGCTCCCGCTCCTCACCCACACGTGCAGCCTCAACATGATGCATGTTCGGACCCGGCTTCGGCCATTGCCGCAAACCCCAACCCCTCTGCAGCCCAACGTGATACACATGTACCTGAGGCGCCCGTGCAGGCCATGCGCTCTCCGCGTGTGGTGAGAGGGAAGAAGGTCCATGCTGCCGAAGACCGCGATTGGCTGAGCGACGACGACTCGTTTCTTGACTCGGAGGAGATGGAGTGGGATGATGGTGACTTTGTCGATGGTCCACACACAGCAGTGGATCAACCGACAAGGGCGGAGGTCAACCAGCAAGGACAAGCATGGCAGCTGCCCTCCTCCACCCATCAGCCCTCCTCTTCCCAGGTGCCCCATTCCTCCCTTCCCCCCACCTCCGCCGTGCTCCCTTCCCACCCCTCCGCTTCTCATCCCTCACCCTCTCGTATGTCCCCACCCTTACTGCCCTCTGCACCCCCCCTGTTTGGGACTTCTCGTCGTCAGGGCCGGCGCCAGAGGCATGTCCCCACCTCCGTGCCATGTACCTCGCAGCAGGCCCCAGGCGATGAGCTTTTGACAGCGGAAGTGCCGCTTGTCATAGGCACCACATGTGCAGCAACTGATACGGTTACCCGGGCCAATCTTTGAAGCGCAACGTCGTCGGAATCAAGAGCTGCAACGGCGGGTTTTGGAGTTGGAGGCGGAGTTGACGCGTCGCAGTATGGGTCCAGCACCGGCCCAGCAGGGTGGCATGCCCAGCACGGTCGGCGGTGGGCTGCAACACCGGGAAGTTGTGCGGGTGATGGTCGGAACTGCTGATCCGGTTTTGGCGCCTAGTGGCCACAACATGTGGCCGCGTCGGCAGCGCAATTTCGAGCGAGAGTTTGCAGACAAGTATCTTGACCGGCGGCCTATAGATTACACGCAAATGACGCCGAAGCAGAAGTCGTGGGCCGAGCGGCTCGTTTCGGCGTTCGAATCGGTCCCTAGTGTCAAAACGAACCTTCCTGTAAGTGCTTTCCTCGACACGTTCTTGCCTACATCCATCTCTAGGCTTCGTGTCTCCCCGCCAATCTAGTTTGCTAAACCCTGATTGGGGGAATGCATTCTTATAGGCAGGTTTTGGTAGATAGGATCCACGGATTGAGTGGCTGGTTTAACTGATTATTGTGTCCTGTGCCACCCCGCCCGTCCACAGGAGTACATGATCAAGGCTATCGAAATACTCTTCTTCCTCGCAAGCAACGAAGGCTTCACCATGTGGCCTACCAGTACCAAGATCCTCGATGCCTTGTTCATAGCTCTTGGATGGAGAGGCGAGGAGAAGAGGATGTTTTTGACGCTTGTGTACGCCCTTGACACAACAAGGTGGGACACAATCCGCGCGAGCATCACCACATGGCGGAACAAGGTGCTGACTAAGGGACGGCTGCATGTCTATGAGGCCTTTGACCTCTTGGTCAACCGCCCGACGGTGCGACGTATGGAGCACGGTACACTTACCCGCGAAACTTTCTAGCTAGACCATGCCCCTGATAAGTCATCTGTGGCTTGGTCTGGCCTGCACCCCTTAGTTGCACCTTCGGTTGTCCCAAACCTTGCCACCGTTCCTCTCCCAACAACCCTTGACCATCAAAACCCCCATCTAATCCCTTCCTCTCTAAGCCTTCAACTCCACACATATCCATATACAGTATACTTGATGTCCTCATCTCCCATCCGTCCTCATCTCCCATCCGCCCTCATCGCCCATCCGTCCTCATCTCCCATCCGTCCTCATCTCCCATCCGTCCTCATCTCCCATCCATCCTCATCTCCCATCCGTCATCATCTCCCATCTGTCCTCATCTTCCATCCGTCCTCATCTCCCATCCGTCCGCATCTCCCATCCGTCCTCATCTCCCATCCGTCCTCATCTCCCATCCGTCCTCATCTCCCATTCGTCCTCATCTCCTATCCGTCCTCATCTCCCATCCCTCCTCATCTCCCATCCATCCTCATCTCCCATCCGTCCTCATCTCCCATCTGTCCTCGTGTCCCATCCTTCCACATCTCCCATCCGTCCTAATCTCCCATCACTCCTCATCTCTCATCCGTCCTCATCTCCCATCCCTCCTCCTCTCCCATCCGTCCTTATCTCCCATCCGTCCTCATCTCCCATCCGTCTTCATCTCCCATCCGTCCTCATCTCCCATCCGTCCTCATCTCCCATCCCTCCTCATCTCCCATCCCTCCTCATCTCCCATCCCTCCTCATCTCCCATCCCTCCTCATCTCCCATCCGTCCGCATCTCCCATCCGTCCTCATCTCCCATCCGTTCTCATCTCCAATCCGTCCTCATCTCCTATCCGTCCTCATCTCCCATCCGTCCTCATCTCCCATCTGTCCTCATCTCCCACCCCTCCTCATCTCCCATCCGTCCTCATCTCCCATCCGTCCTCATCTCCCATCTGTCCTCATCTCCAATCCGTCCTCATCTCCCATCTGTCCTCATCTCCCATCCGGCCTCATCTCCCATCTATTCTCGGCTCCCATCCATCCTCCGCTCTCATCCAACACCCACTCCTATGCTTCACACCTGTCCATTTCCCTGTTCTTCCCTGTTTTTCCCAGTGCATCAAATCCATCCTCCTCTCCTGTCCATCATCCTTCCCTATCCCGTTCTCCACCCCTCCATCCCACCATCTCTCCTCTACTGCCTCTCCATCCCTTTATCCAGCCTTCAACCCCCCGTTTTTCGTCCCTCTTATACATCCTCCCCTCCAGTATCCATGCATCCCTCCTTCATCTGTCCATTCGACCCGAATCCATCAATCCCCCACCCATTGCTACACTCCCCTCCCCCACCCACTCTGGGTACTAATACCATTGCATACGACCCCACATAAGCAGCTATCTCCCATTCACACCCCCCACTGCAGTTTCCTCCCTTTATATATGTTTCTCCTCCAGTCGTAATCGTTCCCTCCCTCCAGACGCCCTTGTTCTCTTGTTATGCATGCATTATTTGCTCCCTCATCCCTTGTTTGTTACAACCACCTGAACCTTGTTCCTATCATGTCTCTTCCCACACGTGTTGGATGATCACCCGTCTCAGGCGCCGCCACGTTCACCATGTCTTTGTGGCACATGCGCGCACGCAACATTCCATTCGGAACGGCTCTATTCGTCGTGGCGATCATAGACTCTTTTTCTCGTCCGACATCGCCTACCATCATTTTACCACTGAAGCTTCTCGCATTTTGGCTCCATGGGGTGAGAACAAAACAGTGTCTTTTCAGATAAAAGACCGCATGCACCTTCATATTTAACATGTGTGCTGTTGGAACTATGCAGGTTGAGCATCGAGTGCTCCATGAAAACCAAGATAAGTCCAAAAGTTCTTGCGTTAATCACAACCAAGTGGAGGTGTACTATAACCACCTCCGTAACTGGGCGCTTGAAGCAATTGCCGCCGGCACGGATGGCGATGGGCCATGGTGGGACGAGAATGTGAAGGCTTGGGCATTTTCGGAGAGCCATGTAGTATTTATAAGTGCAGATGGGTTGTCTGCAGTGCCACGTGCTTGCAGGTAGAGAATTATTACCTTAAATAAATAATTAGGATTCATGAGTGCTTCGTGCAATCTGTCTTTCAGATGATTTAATGCACGTTTAGATTTTGTGCTATTAAAATAACTGGAAAAACACTGCTTAGCTATGTGGTATTATGGCTGGCCCGTTTTAATGAACAGTTTACGCACCTATTAAAAGTAGGAGCTTTCGATAAAATTACAAAAACCGAATCAGTCCGAAACCCGAAACTCCATTATAATTTATCTCGTTTTCTGCAGATTGAATCGCGCGTGCATGTAAAGAACTAACAGTACAAAACACGCGTCGAAATTTCATTGGAGGAATTGTTTCGCGGGAAATTGCACGCCAGAATCAGAGGCGCGGTCCCAGCTGCTAAAGCCAATCACCTTTACTGCCGAACGTCCTCCCGAACCACTTCCATTTGCTGCAGTTTGTTTGGAAATTTTGCGCGCGGCTGCCCTGTATGCGTCGCGTCGAAAAGTATGTTGCCCACATACTCCCAGCAAAGATATGTGGGGCCCCCCGAAAGCTAGTTTGAGGCCCGGGTTTTTTCGGATGCATTCACCCCCTGGCCGCGTCTCATAGGGAGCAACGCAGCACCTACCGGGGATGTGAGTCGCAGCGGCAGCATCGTCCACTCTCACCCGCTCCGCGAATCCCGCCACTCATTTTGTGCCGCCTTGCTGCCCACTGCCCTACGCAGACTTGTGCCATCTCAGCCGCCCCTTTCCGTGAGCTCCTTCTCCCCCTTGACCATGGCGCGGGCTCTCTCTCGCCGCGCGCTTTCCACCGCGCCTTGGCTCGGTCTAGCGCTGGTGCTGATGCCGGCTGGAACGGTGGGGGTGGCAACTTTGTGGGGGGCAGCACCAGGTCGGGGGACGTTACTAGACGTCGGAGGGGGGGAACTGGTGCGCAGCAGGGACCCAAGGGGAGGGATTGTTAGGGAAGAAGCGGTGGGGGCAGAAAGGAGGGTTTGGGTGAAGCAGCAATGGATGAGACGGATGCTGAGAGCGGCTGAAGGGGAGAGAGGGGAGAGAGGCGAGCAGCATGGCTCTAGTGACCGCATGGACCTCCATAGCGCTGCTGCTGCTGCCCCTTCTGCTGCTGTTGCTTGTGCCGCCCCTTCTGCTGCTGCCATTGCTGCTGCTGTGGCTGCTGCTGCGGCTGCAGATGGCGCTGATAGTGGCAGTGGCAGCGGCAGCGTGTGGGAGGGACTGAGCACCTTGCAACCACATGTGGGGACAGCCACAGTGGCCAACGCCTCGGGGTCCTCTCGTCCCTTCCATCGGGTTCTCGCCTCGGGTGCTGCGGCGGTTGTGGCAGCACCATCACAACCATTAACTTTGCCCGCAGGTGGCCGGCAGAAGCGTCAAGCCAATAGCCTCCAGCACTCCCTCGCCCCTCTCCCTGCAACCCTCTCCCCTTTCCCTCTTCCCCCTTCCCCATTGCCCATGCCTTCTCTTCCGCACTTTCCCTCTTCCTTCTTTTCTGTGCCCTCTTCCCACTTAAGCTCTTCCTTGTACATCGCCGAACCCCATACTCTGATGTTCCCCTATCACCATTCCCCCATCTCCCCATATCCACCCCATGGCCGTGCAGAGTGCAGGGACGGCAGCGCCGAGAAAGCAGTGGTGGTGACGACATTCCGCTATGACCAAGTTAACTTCCCCATCGACCCGGTTCATCCCGTGTACCCTTATGAGGTCTTCCTCCGCCCTCTGCCCGCTGCCCGCCAGCCTCTGCCCTCTGCCCTCCGCCCTCCGCACTTTGCCCTTCTCGCATCTTACCCTGAGGTCGCCCTAAAGTTGCTTGCTGCAAGCAACTAGAACTATTCCACTTGGCAATTCACCACACAAATCTGTTCAGCAAGCGCACATCAGGATCCTTGCAGCACGGGACAACATGAACAAGGCTCAGGATGCAATCTGCATCCATGATCGCATAGTTGTCGACACCCCTCGTTGGCAGGAGCCGTCGGCATCCAGTGACGTGGCACACCTGCCTGTCCTCTGTGTAGTACTCAATGTAGGCAGCCTGCTTCGTTGCCCCGTCTTTGTCGTAGTGGAACAGAACCAGACAGCGGCCGTACCAGTTGGCCCCCTTCCCCGCAGGGTTTATGGCCACGTCAGAGAAGTTCCGCTGTGACGGGCTCGCTTTGACAAATTGGCCCTTGGCTGTCCATTCCATCCTGTCGTGTGGAGGGATGGCAAGTGCGGTGTGCACCTGGAACACCGCATGGGAAGGGACATGGGCCAATGGTGGACTTTTACAGTAATGAGCTTCTGAGGGCATGGGTATTGGGCAGCTGATGGTTTACAAAGGCACAAGTTGCCATCAGAATCATTCAAGGACATTCACAGGGGATAGTTTGACTGGGCTGCTCAAGGCAACTTCGTACCTGAAGGACCTGGGTCTTCACGCCCGCCAGCTTGAGGTGGGACGCCATTTGGTCCATCGCAGGTTTCCCCAGGACCGCGACGTAGCTCCTCCACATTGGATCCGTGCTATCCCCCACCACCATCCTCTTGTGCGTCTTGGTCAGCACCCTACGGCCCACGGTGCACGCCTGGGGTTATGACAGAAGGGGATAACGGGGTGGAAAGGGGGACAGAGGGCCGTGGATGAGAGCTGCAGGGCTGAAATCAAATGCAGAGTTAGAGGTTATGCAGAGCGGAGGGAAAAGCACACCTGGGGGAAAAGCAGAGCTAGGGATGCGCAGCGAAGGAAAATCCAGAGCTGAGGGGTATCCAGAGCTGAGTGAAATGCTGAGCTGACGGTTATGCTGAGCTGAGGGTTATGCAGAGTTGAGGGAAATGCAGAGCTGGGGAAAATGCAAATCAGCGGAAATCCAGAGGTGAGGAACATGCAGGGCTCGGAGGTGGACATGGAGAGCTGACGGGTGTGCAGGGCTGAGGGAAATGCAGAGCAGGGGGGAATGTACAGTTGGGGGGAATGCAGGGCTAGGGGAAATCCTGAGTTGATGGATATCCAGAGCAGAGGGGAATCCAGAGCCGAGGTGGGGGGAATGCATAGCAGAGGTAAATCCAGAGCAAAGGGGCAATCCAGAGCGGAGGGAGGAGCAGAGCTGGGTGGGGGCCATGCAGAGATGGGGGGAATGCAGGGCTGGGGGGAATGCAGGGCTTGGGGAAATGCAGAGCTGATGGAAATCCAGAGCTCAGGGAAAGGCACAGCTGAGAGAAATGAGAAGCTGGGGGTAATACACAGCTGAGGGAAGTCCAGATCACTGGGGCAATCCAGAGCTGAGGGACATGCAGGGCTGGGAGGGGGACATTCAGAGATGGGGGGAATGCAGGTCTGGCGGAAATGCGGAGCTGAGCGTTATGCATAGTTGGCGGGAAAGCATAATTGAGGGAAGTTCAGAGTTGTGCGAAATCCAGAGCCGAGGGAATTCCAGAGCCGAGGGAAATGCAGAGCAGAGGGTTATGCAGAGCTGGGGGAAATGCATAGATGAGGGAAACGCAGGGCTGAGGGAAAAGCAGAACCGGGGGGAATGCAGAGCTGATGGAATTCCAGCGGTGAGGGAAATGCAGGGGTGGGGGAAAGACAGTGCTGGGGGGAATGCAGGGTTGGGGGAAATGCAGAGATGGGGGGAATGCAGGTCTGGCGGAAATGCAGATCTGAGAGAAAGGAAAAGCTGGGGGGTTTCAGGGGTTGAGGGAATGGCTGAGCTGGGGGAATGCAGGGTTGCGGGGAATGCAGTGCTGAGGGAAATGAGGTGAGGGAAATGCAGAGGTGAGGGGAATGCAGGGTTGGGGGAAATGCAGAGCCGAGGGAAAGGCAGAGCTGGGGGGAATGCAGGGTTGGGGAAATGTAGAGCTGAGGGAAATGCAGAGCCAAGGGAAATGCAGAGCCAAAGGAAATCAAGAGGTGGGGGGAATGCATAGCCGAGGGAAATCCAGAGCTGAGGGGAATGCAGAGCTGGGGGGAATGCAGAGCTGGGGGGAATGCAGAACCGATGGAAATCCAGAGCTCGGGGAAAGGCAGAGCTGAGGGAAATGAGGAGCTGGGGGTAATACACAGCTGAGGGAAATCCAGATCACTGGGGCAATCCAGAGCCGAGGGACATGCAGGGATGGGTGGGGGACATGCAGAGATGGGGGGAATGCAGGTCTGGCGGAAATGCAGATCTGAGAGAAAGGAAAAGCTGGGGGGGATGCAGGGGTTGAGGGAATGGCTGAGCTGGGGGAATGCAGGGTTGCGGGGAATGCAGTGCTGAGGGAAATGAGGTGAGGGAAATGCAGAGGTGAGGGGAATGCAGAGCTGGGGAGTAATCTACATCCGAGGGAAATGCATAGCTGAGAAAAATGCAGTGCTGAGAAAATGGCAGAGCTGGGGGGAATGCAGGGTTGGGGGAAATGCAGAGCCGAGGGAAAGGCAGAGCTGAGGGAAATGCAGAGCCGAGGGAAATGCAGAGCCAAGGGAAATCAAGAGGTGGGGGGAATGCATAGCCGAGGGAAATCCAGAGCTGGGGGGAATGCAGAGCTGGGGGGAATGCAGAGCTGGGGGGAATGCAGAACCGATGGAAATCCAGAGCTCAGGGAAAGGCAGAGCTGAGGGAAATGAGGAGCTGGGGGTAATACACAGCTGAGAAAAATCCAGATCACTGGGGCAATCCAGAGCCGAGGGACATGTAGGGATGGGTGGGGGACATGCAGAGATGGGGGGAATGCAGGTCTGGCGGAAATGCAGATCTGAGAGAAAGGAATAGCTGGGGGGGATGCAGGGGTTGAGGGAATGGCAGAGCTTGGGGAATGCAGAGCTGAGGGGAATGCAGAGCTGGGGAGTAATCTGCAGCCGAGGGAAAGCACAGCTGGGGGGAATGCAGAGCCTGGGAGGAATGCAGAGCTGGGGGGAAGGCAGAGCTGAGGAAAAGGCAAGATTTTGAATAGTAGCCGCACCTCCTTCATTGCGGTCTCGTAAGTCTTGTCACCGCCAACCTCGCAAGACAGCTGGCGAACCACAGCATGCTGCACATGCTTCTTGACAATGCGGTCCCCGACGTTCTTCCAGTTCGTTCCACGGGCGGGGCGCTTGACAGTCGTCTTGTGAGAGTGCTCGTACGTGTTGGATGAGTACTC